CTCACCCCTAAACCCATTGCTAGGCAATATTTCCCAGCCTTCCTTACAGTTACATATGACCATGAGTGACTCATTTCTAGTCCATGAAAATGCAGGTGAACCTGACATACACCACATTTAGGCTTGCATTATAAAAGCTTCCTACAAACTGTGCCCCAGTCTCCCTCCTTTGTCTATTGGCACATAGAACTTATTATCCTAGGAGACAGTGGAACAACTAAATAGAGATACCCAAGGTTGGTCTCTGACTTAGCATTGGAAAGCCACCACTGAGTACATTATTGGATTTTATGTGACTGAAAAATGAGCACCTATAATGTTAAGCAACTGAAGTGTGGGGGTTTATATGTTTCAAAAACATATGCTACCACCAACTGTTATAGAAATCAATATGTTGGCATTGGCTTAGTGGTTGGTTCTTGGGTGGCAAGTAAAGAGATAAATTAGGCCAAAAGAGAAAGAGCTTTGTTTTGTTGTGACAAAATATTTGGTTGCCTTCAATTTTAGAAGGCAGCCCACTTGATTCCTTACTTCTAAAGAAAGTGGTTAGAAAAAGTCAGAGTAATTGTGTATCAAATTGTATTGATTTAACTTAGCACAGTATTAAAAAAAAAAAAAAAAAGAGAGGAGTTCAGGCAAGAATAGACTGCTTTCCAAAGAGGTGTCCATGGCAATTGAGATACAAGATCCTACAATGTTGGAAAAGCAAGATGCTGCCAGATCTCAAACAGTAACAGGATGGAAAAAGATTTTTAGTGACTAAAGCCAGGTAAATATTCTTAGTTGACCTAAATAGCTAGTCTAAGGCAGCCTTTCCTGAATGGTATGGTCTTCCCAAGTATTATTTCACATAGCATCAAGATAATCACCATTAAGTTGAGAAAAAGGATAGGAATAGGTTTAAAAAGAAAGAAAAAAAGATAAATATAATAAAATAAATAAAACAAAAAGAGAGAATTATGTCCAAGAAAGGGCCTTGAAGGTGGCTATAGGGACATGGAACTGCTTAGAAGAAAATTGATCAGAAATCTATAGAGTTTATGAAAGAAAATAATTTTCAAAAAATTCACAGGTGGAGCCTGAAAAGCCCTTGGCTGGCAAAGCTTTAAATAAGCCCTGGGCTTCGAATTTACACAAGCAGGAAAGAAGATATGAAATACGATCAACCTGCAAGGAGAGCATACTCTCTGGTCCTCACTTCATACAAGGGAACTTTCCCCAGAGAGCCAGCAGCTGTGCTGGGCTTCTGGTTTTAAAAAAGGAATTTCCTGTACTGCCAGGACAGAGAGACCTCTGTTCATCAAGAATCACAATTGCTGAGAATCAAGGTCTCTCCCATCCTTAATTTTTCCAATAAGAGTCTACAATGTTTTTGTACTGCCTCTTCTCCACTATTGTATTTTTTGTATGTGTTGAAAGTGGATAGTAGATGCTTTGGCTTTTTTAGAGAACAGGTCTCTAGAATACGAGGAGCTAACTCCATATCTGGTGGATAGAATGTCTATATTGCCCAAAAGTCCTGGATTTTGAGCTGGATGCAGTGACTGGATGGGACTTTAGGGTATCTTCCCTAGGTAAGGGACTGAACTTGTTCCCTTCATGAGAAGATGAAACTGATAGTGACAATTTCCTCTTCTTTCTTGGCTATCTAGTTAATCAACCTCATTTCTCAGCCTTCCTTATGGATGTGTAAGGTGATTAGGCAATGTTACTACTTCCAGAACCGAGCCATAAAAACCTAGATACTTCTAAACATAAATTAATCTCTCCATTTCCCATAAGCCTATGGCAGTATGTTTATATCTGTATATACCTGTTTTTTTTTTCTCTTCACTAAACTGTTAGCGTAATGAATTCTAAAATAGTAGAGATAGAGATGAATACAGAAGGGTGACTATCACAGATTTGGGAGGCCAGAGAAAGCATTAAGGATATTTATGTCTAACAAATGAAGGTAGAGAAGTTAGCTGAGCATCAGGGTCAGGGGCAAGATGCTATCCAAGCAAAAGGAATAGGGAAGGAGACCTAGAGGCACAGAAAAATCCTGTGTAGCAGACAGTGAGAATCCCCCACCAATGTGTCATTAGTCTTTATAATGTCAATGTCAAATGTCAAATGCTTCTTCAAGCATCTACATCTGTATCCCTTTCCCCGAGGCTGTCTTTTGTTGCCTGCACCTGTTCTGCCCCTGTGCAGAAGACAGGAAGTGCCAAGGAACTGATACTCCTCCCTCCCCAGGATTTGGTATATGAATACTCTAAATTGCTTGCCTCTGAGATGCTCATGTTCTACACTGGATCCCAAAGTTCCCCAGCCAGATTCAGTTTTATAAACAATAGTGGTGCTGTGCTTAACTAATAACCCAGTCATGACTTCTCTGTCTCCACTATCCACTACCACACTGGTGCATCCTGAGATCAACTCCCAATTACAGTACATGCATGTGAAGCCTTGTCTCAGGGTTTGCTTTTGGGGGAAGCAAACTACCACACCATGCCATAGTTGAGGAACTAAGGAAAGACCAAATTGATTGAAACAGGGACTATGTTGACCTTTGAACAAATGGGTGTTAGGGGCACCAACCATTCACCCAATCGAAAATCTACATGTAACTTTTGACTCCCCAGAAACATCACTACTAATAGCCTACTGTTGACAGGAAGCCTTACCTATAATATAAACAGTCGGTTGATACATATTTTATATGTTATATACTGTATTCTTACAATAAAATAAGTTAGAGGGACACCTGGGTGGCTCAGTCAGTTAAGCATCTGCCTTCAGCTCAGGTTATGATCCCAGGGTCCTGGGATAGAGTCCTGCGTCCGGCTCCCTGAGCCTGCTTCTCCCTCAGCCTTCCACTCCCCCCTGCTTGTGCTCTCTCTCTCTGACAAATAAATTAATTAAAAACTTTTTAAAAAGTGAGTTAGAGAAAAAACATTATTAAAGAAAATCATAAGGAAGGGAAAATACATTTATAGAACTGTACTGTATGTAGTGAAAGAAACCTGCATGTAAGTGGACCTGAACAGTTCAAACTTGTGTTGTTCAAGAGCCGACTGTATAAGGAAGAGAAATTATAAAAATGCATATGGGAAGGCCACATTCCTACTTTATCTGAAGGACATTTAAATACCACTGCATGGCTTGCTAACTAATAGGAATATAGTTAGACATTAGATTTGTATTAGAAAAAGTATCCATCCAGAAGCAAGAGACAAATGGATCAGTGTGGGGACAGATGGGGCAAAGCCGGGAGAAGGGAGAGAAATTTGGAGGTTTTTAAAGTAATCAAGATTAAAATAATAACTTGAACTTTGATGACAGACAAGTGGATGGAGAAATAAGAGGACTTGAGAGAGATTTGGGTTCAGGTAGAATCAAATGAGGCAAATCAAATAGACAGCTCTGATAAAATGTGAAGAGCAAGAAAGAGGATTAAAATCAAGGACATTCCTTGGGAACTGGTTTGAGAAACTGGATGGAAGGTGACAGCTTTTTCTGAAGGAGGAAACCTAAGAGTTAATCAAAATGAACCAAAAGGAGGTAAAAAATGCTCTGTTTGGGGCATGATCAATTTGTGGCACCAGTAAGATAGGTAAATAGATGTATCTAGTAATCAGTAAGATTTATGGATCAGAAATTCAGGAAAATGATCAGAGCTGGAGCTGTAGATTTGAGTATTATTTAAATATGGATGTTAATAGAGGCAGTAAGATGATGATATCCAGTGAGAGCTTGCAGAGCAGTGGTTGGTTCTACCCCAGGGATACTGCTCCCTTGAAGACAATTCTTTTTTTGTTTTCTTTTCTTTTCTTTTTCTGCCTCTCATAACAATGATTAGAAAAGAACTCATGGATTTTATTTAGAGGGTAGAGGTCAACTATGAAAGATATCTCGCTAGACTGGTATTTAGTAATGTAGGTGAAATATCTATGTGTAATTATCTGCGCCTAGGACCTAAATAATTTTTTTCATATAAATACAAAATTTATTTTGTAAATTTTTTATATGCATTGTATTTTCCAGAAGTAAAACTGTGTGTATTAGAGATTATTTTATGCAGTTTTCTTTGCCTATTTACTAAGAGCTATTCACTATTTTGGAATATAACATAGCAATATAAAATAGCTATCCTGGTTATGACATATATGTTGTATTACAAGGTGATACAATGTATTATATCCATATCTATTTGAAATTTTAGTTTTTGTAAGCACACATATGACGGAGATTTGAAACTTAGAAACATTAAAAGGTGTTTCATATTATCACCCACATAATTTGTGCATAGCAGAATGATAAAATGGGAAATTATGACATTGATTTCTTTTATATCTGAACTTCCGATTGTATTCAACTTGAGTATGATTCAATTTGAATATGTGTTGCACCCATGACTTCTCTACAGTTTTCTGCACTATTGTTTCTTTTTACACTCTGTTCCTTAGGATGCTGTCTATTGAAGGATATTGTCTCCATGTCATTTTGAGCACTGAAAACTGAATTTTGAGATAAGCAATATATTTTCTATGATATTTTATCACATCCTCCCATGCCATCATAAACATAGAGAATTATGTCAGTACTATCAGATTTTCTCATTTTATCTTATTAGACTACCTGTAATTTATATTGGTATGTTACTTCTACTGAGATTAAGGATATTTCCCTTTTTATTCATGCCATTCACAAATTGGTCTGGTTTGTGTTTATCTTAACATTTTTAATCTTGTGTCCAGCCACACATCTGATTTTTCAGTTCCTATACTTCATGGTCATGATGTCTTCTCATCATCTGAATTATATTAAATTCAAACATTTGCATAGTTGCCACACAGAGTCTAACTTTTTCACGTGTATTACTACTTTTTTTCAAAATCTTAACTGGTCAAACTATAGTTGTGTTTCAGTGAATACTTATACAAATACAAAGTTCTTTTCTTTTCACCTAGGCATTAAGGAACAAAATTCATTTTCACTGATGTAGATATTTTGTAGAGCTTACTTCGACAGCATGTTTAGTAAAATTGGAATGATGCAAAGTAGATTACTGTGGCCCCTGGGCAAGGATGACACACACATCCGTGATGTAGATATTTTGTAGAAGTTGATTCTGTCGGTAATTTTCAGGAAGCCACACTTACATATTTGAACCTTCACCTACCTTGGAGTATTGTTGCTGTCTGAACAAATGATTAATGCCAACCCTAAAATAGAAATATTTTAGTAGAAATATCGCAGTGGAATCAAATTTTATTGGTCACTGTTCAAAGAGATAATTGTATTCTTCTGGATCAAATTGCATATTCTAAATGCCATAAGAAATGAACTATAAAAGTTCATTTCTTAGCTCTTTTTGGCACTCTGTGTCTTTCTACACTGTGATTTCAGAAGGCTCCTCCTAGTGGAAGGGCTATTCCTTTCTTCAGAGTCAGAGAAATAAGATCACATGGAGGGGGACAGCTACATATGAGATGGCACAGATGACAAATTACCACCTAACATTATATTATTTATGCAGGTGTTTTTGGTTTACATCTGTGACCTTCACTTCATAGAATGTATGCATCATGTACACGGCATTTTGCAGTGATTTTGAGGAGTCCTGTGACCTCAGGTTATCAAGCCCAATATTTCCTCAAGCTCTGACACTTTATAACTCTATAACTCAAGAGTTATTGTCATGCTCTTCCTCCCACTGATCCTCAGATCAGTGAGACAGAATATTCATATGAACCAATTTGGAAATTTGTCAAAATTCAAACAGACCATTACTGGCAGATCCTAAAATTGCACAAAACTTTTTTTTTTATTTTCTACCCCCCACTCACTCTAAAAAATTCAATTCTTGGGGTGCCTCGGTGGCTCAGACAGTTAAGCGTCTGCCTTCAGCTCAGGTCATGATCCCAGGGTCTGGGATCGAGCCCCACATGGGGCTCCCTACTCAGGGGGAGTCGGCTTCTCCCTCTCCCTCTGCTCTTCTCCCTGCTTGTGCTCTCTATGTTGCTCTCTCCCTCTCTCTCGCTCTTAAATAAATAAATAAAAACCTTTAAAAAAAAATTCAATTCTTTCCACTATGCCGTGCTGCTATTCTATCTTCTCCCACAAGCACTGAACCCATGTGTAATGATTAACATGTCTGAGCAAAACCCAGATCTATCATGGTAATAATTTTTTTTCTCATGTATTCTTTTTATTACTTTTTTTAAAAAGATTTTATTTACTTATTTGACAGAGACACAGCGAGGGAGGGAACACAAGCAGGGGGAGTGGGAGAAACAGGCTGCCCGCCGAGCAGGGAGCCTGATGCGGGGCTCCATCCCAGGACCCTGGGATCATGACCTGAGCCAAAGGCAGATGCTTAATGACTGAGCCACCCAGGCGCCCCTCTTTTTATTACTTTTGATTACATGCAAAATATGTGAACACTTCTTGAATTATCTATTGCTAAACAAATCACTCCCCAGTTAGTGGTTTAAGATAATACTTAATTATTTTGTCATCGGTTCTGCTGTCAGGGAGGTGGGCAGGGCTTAGCTGGGGACCTCTACTCTGGGGCCTCCCACCAAGTTGCAGTCAAGGCCCACAGCCGTTGCCGGGTTCAGCGGGAGCAGGATCGGTTCCCAGCTGATTCCGTGGTTGTTGGCAGGGCTCAGTTCCTCTAGGGCTGCAGACTTGAGGGCCTCAGTTCCATGCTGGCTGTTGAACCAGAGCTGCCCCACTTCCTGGCCAGGTGGCCCTCTGCACCAGAGTCATCACTTGCTGGGGCCAGGGAAGGAAGTCACAAGCTTGTATAACCTGGCCATGGCGTGTCACCTCATCCCTGGGCCGTACTCTCTTCATTCACAGCAAGTCATTGCATTCAGCCCAGTGTGAGGGGGAGGTGATTACACAAGAGTGTGAACAGCAGGAGCTGGGGATCAATGGGAGCCACATCAGAATCTGCCCACCACAAATATACTCGTATTACATGGATTTTTGTAACTCAAATCTCATAAATTCTCTCAAGAGCTCCTTGATTGATGAATGCATGTGGTTTGGGGGAGGAATGGTTTACTTACTAATTCAAATACATATACTTTGTTGGCAAACCCTGCGCTAGATGATCAGAATATGGGAGTGAATACCTGGTCCTTGCCTCAAGGGGCTCAACTTCTGTCTATGGCAGGAGACAGACACATGAGCAAGGTTGTGAACAGGGCTGTAAGGAGGGTGAGTCGTGAGAGGCAGGACCTTTCCATGCCAATATACCCCCTTTGTATGATTTCTCTAAGTTTGTGGCCTGATGTTAGGTGAGTATTAACATTATTTTACTCTTAAAATTTGTTTTATTCAGTTAACCATCCATGGTCACTCCTTACTCCCTCATAGTGAAATGGGAGCTAATAAAGATGATTATAAAACTATGGTACAAGACTGAACAGTTGACCCAAAGAAAGGAGTGGTCGTATCCACGCTGGAGAGCAGTCAGGAAAGGTCTTCATGGGGAGATGGAGTTAGATTTGAGTCCTAAAAGGCAATATCCCAATCGGATGGCTGGGTGTATATGGTTGGTGGTGCCATTTAGCAAGGCATGGAATACATGAAAAGAAGCAGGTTTAGATGCAGTATGAAGGATGATCTTAAAATCACATTAGTCGGGGTTCAGATGAAGAAAATAAAATCCATGCTCTCTAGTTAAAGAAAAAAAAAACAGTGTTTAATATAAGTTCTTGCACAATTCCTAGAAGAGGCTGGCCCTGAGCTGAGGCATCATGGGTCCACTTCCTACATGAGAAAAAGATGTCTTTGAGCCTGCCTCTCTGGAAATGGCATGCATCACTGAATGCAGTGTTTGCTCTAGTCTCCCATCTATAACTATGGTTGTGAGAACGTCTGGAAAATGCAGTCATTCGGTTCTCTAGCCCTGATCAAAGGGCATGGAAATGGCGGAGGCCATCAGTCACATGGAAACGTTGAACATTTTCTTTGAAGTGCCTGTGGGACACCCTTCTGGAGAAGCCCAACAAACTTTGGATAGACAGGGCTGAAGTTCAGGGGCAACCTACACGCAAGAGATCTGGTGGTGGCTGAAACTCCGAAAACATGTATCACCCGAAAAGAATGTGAGAACCAACAAAGGCTCCTAACAACTCTCTGTAGTACTGTATATTCATTTTTAGAAAGAGCCAAGAACATTAGAAACCCTAAGTTGCCAAGAACCAATTAAAGCATCAATTTCAACTTTCGCCTGATATTTGAATTTGTTGGCTTCCTCGCTAAATTAATGAGCAATGACACTGAGCTTAATATCTTTCAAAACTACCCACCCCATTGTCAGACGATGTGTTGTCTTTGACACTATGTTAGATTCATCCAAAATTATTTTCCCATAAACCTCCACCCATTCACTTTTTTTTTCGATACCGGGAGCCTACCAGAATATGTTTGTGACCCATTTCCTTCAAATATCTATCAAAATTTGTAGGGAATTCATAATATTGTCAGCCTCCTCCTTGGATCGATCGCAAGCTATAAGCTACTTTGAATGCTAGCAAACATTTCTGTAAAGAGCCAGTGAAAATCCTAGAGGGTTCTATTTCCTGGTATTCTGTGGGTCCCCAGGGCTTTGAAGAGATTCCTGAAGCTTGATCATCACCACCCTCACCCCAGCTTCATGACCCCCTGCACTGATACGAGATGACATTTGATTCAAAGGGATTGGTTTGCTAAGATGATTATGTAGCGGAGTAAAGCTACCATTTTTTGTTTGTTTGTTTTATTTAAGTTCAAGTTGGTTAATTTCAGGGAAGCTAACAGTTTCTAATCTGTTACGTAATGTAGGTACTGTGCTAGATCTTTTATTTACTGGTTTTATTTAACACCTACTAGTAAGGTAACTGGTGTTCTCTCTTTATCCTAGACAAGAAAATGAAAGCTCAGAGATGTTGGGTAACATGTCCCTCTATTAATTTCTTCATCCTTTAACAGTCCTCTCTTTACTATACTGCCACTGAGAAGCATGGCAGGGTGCAAAACGAAGATCCTTTTTGGTCCGTCCTATCGCTCAGTGGATTAATTTGATCAGATTTAGGTTCCAATGAGAATTCTTAGGATGCTCTCACTTTGTATTTTGTTTTGCTTTATTTTCCCCTGAAAATAGTTTTCCCTTGTCATCACATCGATAAATCCCCATCCAGAACATCTCTCTCGGGTAGCATCCCACGTGGTAGATTTTGGTTCTCAGCTTATCTTACTCCCTATTTGGCTCACGTGGCTTTGGGGCTTCAGTGTCAGGCAGGAGCCTAGAAGAGGGTGTGATTGTTTTCGTCAACTTCTGAGATTAACTGCATCCTTCATGCCTAGAGCAGGGAGAAGCTTGGGATGTATTAAGTGCCATGTGATAAACCTGTTAAGACACTTAGGATATTGTTTAGGAAATTTGAATTGCGAACTCACTGCTATTGGCTGCTTGTTTATTGGCTTAAAGAATATTATTATTTCAATGGACTCTCAACTCTATGGTCAACTCATCTTCGACAAAGCAGGAAAGAATGTCCAATGGAAAAAAGACAGTCTCTTCAACAAATGGTGTGGGGAAAATTGGACAGCCACATGCAGAAGAAGGAAACTGGACCATTTCCTTACACCACACACAAAAATAGACTCCAAATGGTTGAAAGACCTCAATGTGAGACAGGAGTCCATCAAAATCCTAAAGGAGAACACAGGCAGCAACCTCTTCGACCTCAGCCGCAGCAACTTCTTCCTAGAAACATCGCCAAAGGCAAGGGAAGCAAGGGCAAAAACGAACTCTTGGGACTTCATCAAGATAAAAAGCTTTTGCGTAGCAAAAGAAACAGTCAACAAAACCAAAAGACAACCGACAGAATGGGAGAAGATATTTGCAAATGACATATCAGATAAAGGGCTAGTATCCAAAATCCATAAAGAACTTATCAAACTCAACACCCAAAAAACAAAGAATCCAATCAAGAAATGGGCAGAAGACATGAGCAGACATTTTTCCAAAGAAGACATCCAAATGGCCAACAGACATATGAAAAAGTGCTCAACATCATTTGGCATCAGGGAAATCCAAATCAAAACCTCAATGAGATAC